GCGCAGTAATTTCTGAAAGGCCATGTGGCCAAGACACTCCTCCTTTGGAGAGGACAGCTCCAACTGCTGTCTTGGGTATCCTTCTCTTGTGGAAGGCTTGTTTTCAGGTGTGAGTAAAATACCAGGGCAGCAGGTGGCTGTGCACTGTCAGAGTTGTGTGCCCTGCACGTGAGCCACTCAGAACTTTCCTGTGGCCTGAACAGTCCCTGGTGGGTTTTTGCTTTTGTTTTGCTTTTTCCATTTTTCCAAAGCAAGTTTATTTTATAACTTTGTAAACATTTTCTCAGACGGCTGAGAGGGTAGTTTTCAGGCTGAGGTAAATAACTAGGTAACTGTGCCCTTGGTAACTGCACGCTGGGGTTTTCCATTTTAGTTGCAACTTTTTGCTCTTGAGTCCTGCATGTTGGGTAATAATGTAACTTAATACACCAGTACTGGAAACTGGGAATCTGCAGAGGGAACCCTGGCTGTCTGGTCAGGAGTTAAGCCCTGCCTTCCTGGTATATGGCTCAGCTGTGAGCAGTGATGGAAAGCAGTTTCTTTTCATCAATTGAATTATGGTTTGGCAGAAATAATGTTTTCTGTAGGCTGTCCAGTAAGTGCCAAGCATATGAAACACAGCTATACATAGAGGCTGTTTTCAGGAGGATGTTTCAGTTCATGCAAATATTTGCAATCCTGGACCTAATGGGATACAGAGTATCTGTGGCAATTTCACTGAATGCACCAAACTTTTGATGAAAAAATCCCTCTGTGCCCACATATGACCACCTACTCAAATCATTGCTAAATTTTGCACAACAAATTGGTGCTCCACTTGTCTGCTGAGTTTGGTTGAACTGGGTCTGTTGTTGACATCCTCCTCCATTTGAGGAATGAATCCACTGCCAGTGCCTGGATGGTGAGAGCCGTGTCCTGTGTGACTTTTGGGGCTGGGAGGTCTCCCCTGACTGAGCAGAACAGCGATGTCCTGGAAGTGCTGCTGTCCTGCTTCTGCTAGGGACTCAGCCCAGGAGTCTTTGGCAGCATCTGGCAGCATCCTGCTCAGGACAGGAGCTGTGGGGCAGGGTGGGTGTTCACAGGGGTGTTCACTGTGCTCCCACAGTGCCGGTCACGCTGCTGCCTTTCATAGGGACTGAATGCTCTCAGTTCAAAACTGCCGAGGGTTAGTTTCAGTGCTGTGCAGGCTTTGAGAAGGCTCAGGGTTAACCAGGCAGTAGCTGACAAATCCAAGGGCTTTCTTTTATTTCTCCCAACCACCTCCCTTTTTCTGATCTCACAGACATAAGGCTTCTCTTAATCCTTTGTGGTTATATGGCTTCTCCTATTTGTTACATTAAGGAGGTACTTGTACTCAGAGTAACTGAATTCTGCCACTTCTGGTAATACAATAGTCCCATATTGCTCAGTGCAATTCAGCTGCCTCTTCCTGAAAGTAAACTATTGCTTAATTAGAGAGGAAGGTTGGCAGCATCTGGTTCTGTGCCACTTAGAAAAAAAAAATTGCATCTTTTTGCCTTATTCTTCTGCTTTCTTCCCCTCTCTCTTCTTCAGTGCAAAGTAAACTCAGCTGCTCACCTGGGAAGAGAACACACTCCTCATTCTGCCCATGCCAAGTAAGGTCTGTTCTGAGCAGAAATACATAAGTAGGTCAGGGAAAACAGAAATGCGTACTTTGGCAGAAGATGGAAGAGCAGTTTGAGGAAATACTTTCATGTGATTTCTCCCCATCACATTCTCCTAAAGATAATTTCAGGAGTTTGTCTTCAGCCTTTAGAGGTTTCAATCACTACAGCCTTTGGGAGTTACCTTCAAGAATCCTTCAGACGTTTTGGCCCTAAAAGTCAAAAGCTGAGGCTGTTACGATGGGCCAGAAGCTTTTCTGTTAGGCTTTTTGCTGCAGACCCCGAGCATCAAACACATGTTCCCTGGGAAGTTGTAAGGTCTAGGGGTCTCCATGAAACACAGCAGCTTTTGCAGGGAGCTGCCCTGTGCTGCTTCCCCAAGCACAGCCTAAGAAACCTCCTTTTCTCTGCTGTTTACCAATTAGTAGAAGCTGGGTGCAGGTTTTGAGTGGCTGGTGGGTGGGTGACCAGAGATGACCAGATTGATCTGCACTGGTGGTGTTCAGAGCAGAGTTGACATTTTTTGAGGAACATTGCTGTAGACGGTACAACAGGGTCCCTCTTGAGTCACTCCTTGTGCCTTAGCTTTGAAACAGTCAATAGGATGGTACCCACTGAACAAATGTCTCCTTGTTGGTTGTGATAGTGTCTCTGATTTTTGATTGGAGAGGAGCACCTACAAAGTTTTGATATAAAATTTTGTGCTCCGCGGTTCTTGTGTTGGGTCATTGGGCACAAGTTGGTAAATCCAAGGCAGCTGTAACAGCAGACACATTTCTTGTTGCTCACGAAAGATAGCTACCCCTAGAATCACAAATCTTGTTCTGGGTAAAATTGTATGAATTATTTTTTGGATCAAGTAAGTGAACTACTTTAACTTGAGGGAGACTGTCATCATGAAGAGCTACAAAAGAGAGAGTAACACCAGCTGTGCTTCTAGATGGGGGTGAATCACAATGAGCTTCCAGAAGCAGCTCCAGAAGGAGCTGGCTGTGGGCTTTAGGTGCAGTTTCTGAGTTTCCAATGGGTTTAGGTTCCGAATAGATCCAAATGATTATTTTCATTGGAAAGAACATCATTCCTGCTGCTCTCCTGTAGCTACTCCTAGGCTTGCGGCAAAACGTGTGGCTAATGGCCTCCAGATGTTAGAAATGCCTCTGTGTCAGGCCTGGTTGTTGGGATTGCTGGTTGCAGGCACTGTAATTGCAGTAGTAATTAGGTAAGGGATGCATTTGACAGCGACAGAAGCAGACTTACTTGTAAATTAAACTTCAGCTTTCAAAGCATGTATGTCCTGCTAGAGAAGAGAAGGAAGTGGGGCAAAATAAACAAAGGTGGCAAGTGTAACTGGGATGTTTGTCCCTTTGCCACCTTTGTCACTTGTCCTTTTATCTCCTGATGTGATGCAGAAGTGTCCTGCAGTGTCACCAAATGCAGTGTTTCTGTACAGTGCTCAGGACCACGAGAAGGTCACTCCCAGTACTGTCCCAGTCAAAGGGCTCAGTTCTCAGGGTTGCCACTGCTTGACTTTGATGTGGATCACCTCCACTGGAAGGAAAATAAGTATTTTTGTCATTAGGCACAAGCTTTATGAAATGAAGCAACATTAACCTGTGCTCTGGTTAGGAAGAAAGAAACCTCAGTTTACCACTAACAAATTTTAATGATGTCCTCCCAGTATACTCAAGAGTGTGGAGCAGGAGATGGAAAAAGTTGCTTTTTAAATAGAGATTGCACTTAACCCTGCTGAAGCAGTGGGACCTTTGCCTTTTAAAATGTCACAACGTCTGCTTGCAGATTGGAGACATGAACTTGGCCATCCTTTTTGTGCCACCAGTTGACGAGAATGAAACATAGTGAAGCTGTATTTACTGGCCCTATTACTGCTTCTCTGCTGCAGCTTCTCAGCACTGTTGATCGGTGCTGTAGGAGCAGAGGTCACAACTGGAAGAGCCTGAACTAAATTTAAGTTTACATTTCCCGACTCAGACTGATATTTGGAGATAAAAGGACAGCTCTAGGGATCTCCTGCCCAGCTGCCTCCTGGCAACTTGCCTCTTTCTTTTTGCAAGAAGAAGATGTTAATGCAAATGGGCATGCTGATGCTCAGGTTGGCAGAAGAGAAGCTGTGCTGGCTGGAGTGTGCTCTCCTGAAAAGCCCAGTGCATGGTGCTGTCCGTAGAGGCTGTATTAGTGCTAGGTTTGCTATGGCTGTACCCTGCATCCCCTTGCCTTTTATGCACCCTTTCTGCATAAGCTGTCATGTGAAGCCATCCAAGAGGTTTGGGTACAAGAATGGGTACATATGCCCGATTCCTGTTGCTTGCTGCTTTGTAGGAGAAGCTGTTGATCTGTAGCAGCATGGGGATTGTGAGACCTTGCTTGGGGTTGGAGGCAGTGGATAGGTGAAGTCCAGGCTGGAGAGGTGCTGCTGGAGCAGCTGTGTCCCCATCAATTTGCTCAGCTTTGGGTCAGATGCACTGGCAACGTGCAGCAGCAGCAGGTTTCTGTGCTTGGTGTCCTTTGACTTTTCTGGTAAGATGGTGGTTTTTGATGAGTGAGATGACGTGTAGGTTCCCTTCTTCAGTTGCTGCAGTGTATGTGAGCATCTTTTCTAAGGCAAGGCAAAGCTTCCATTTTACCATCCTTTTTAAGAACTCCCTGTTCTTAAAAATCCCCAGCAGCTCTGCTTTACTGTCTCCTTGGTGTTCCTGTCTGCCCACCTGATGGCTTCTCCTACACAAAGTCAGCTGAAGTGGATGTCTGCTGATGGATCTGCTTCGGTGAACTTGTCAAATATTCTTACCTGTTGAAATCTTTTATTGTATTCTGTCACTATAACCTGAGCAGTTTATGTATGGGAGGGGGCATCTCAGTGTCAGCAGCCTCTAAAAAACAGATTTTTAATCGTCTTGTTTCAAAGTAGAAGTGGTGTAACAAGCAGGGCAGCCAAACTCCTGCCTCTGGGCATCTGATGGAACCCAAGATGCTGGTTCCTATCACCACCAGACACTAGAGCTGTTTGTTTCTCTTGTTTCTTACTTACAATCTTAGTAAATCTGTCAGCTGCCTGACTTGGTTTAGCTTTGTATTTGATAGCATCCTACAAAAGTAAAGAAACTTCCATGAGATGTTTTGTTGTGTGAGGAGATTGAATTACCTTTTATTTTACAAGGAAAATAATTGCTCTCTGAATCAAAAAATGATAGTGTGATGCTTGTTCAGTAGGTGTTCAGACTGGGGTTTTCTGTATGGGAAACCACCTGCTCTTCTTCAGAGCAGTGATAAAATGCCTTCAACTAATGCTGTCAGACAAAGCATGTGAAGTACAGCACCCTTAAGAAACACAAAAGCTGCTCATGGGTGTGTTTATAGGAAGTATAATAAATTCCATACTGTTTGCCTGCCTTGGCACATGCACTGAGGTCATTCCTGGCATATTTCAATTGAGTCCCCACCCATTGTCGTCTTAATATGCTAGCTGGGAGGTAGAGAGACTAACTTGGAAAACTCCAGAGTTGCCAGTGGAATAAGAGCTGTGTGCCTTGCTCTTTGGAAGGCTAGAAATACACGCTTTAAAGTGGTGGAATTTACTGAGGCATGGGGAGAGGGGGATGGTTAATTGTGTTTACAGATAAACAAGACAAATGCATTTGAATTGTGCAAGAGCTGCAATAAAAGTAGTGACATCCATCCTGGCTGCATTGTATCTTGGGATAATAGTTGCAATGGTATTTCACTAAAAACATACAGTTGTTATGTAAAAGAACAGAGCAGCAAGAATTCTAACAAGCAGTTAAGTTTGGATGACTTTCTACAGAAAACAGTTGAGTATTATTCCATTGTCTAGCAAGATATTTCAGAGAAGATCTAAAGCCTGTAGTGCAGTGATAGAAATTCTAATATGCAATGTTTTCGTCATTGATTTTAGACTAATTCAGTATTTCTCTTCTCTCCTTTTTCCCCCTCGCATCTAGCAAAACTGTACAATCTAAAGTGGACTGCATTTTGGTAAGTACAACTCCAGAATGCTTTTCAATATTTAACGAGCTGCGAGACCAAAATAGATGGCTCTGGAGACTGACAACTATTATGAAGCCTTTCATTAGCAGTACTTCAAGGTACTACCACTAAATGTGATCAAAATTAGTTACCATTTCAGGTACCTTCCCAGAAATGTGCAGCACTACAGGTCCTGTTAGCTCTGCTGTGCTGCGAACATAGCAGAGATCATTTTTTGAAGCAGGAAAGGCTCTTGAATTGCAAAAACATCATCTTCATTTGTGCATTAAAATAACAGGATCTAGGCAGTGATAAGAGATTCTTTTTAGGAAGCACTAGTTCAGAAAGAGGTTTTATTTGTTTTTAGTAGTGAGCAGGTTGTGAGTTTTTTTAAATCAGAGTCTTGAGCTCATAAATCTTAGGACTGGAAGGGATTGCTTATCCTGACTTTCTACCTTCAGCAGTTCATCCAGAAGTACCAGTGGATAAGATAAAAAGGTGTCACAGACAACCATCTGGATACTATCAAATAGTATGGCTGAGCTAACAAAGAATATTCCTCAAAGTTACATTATCAAAATCTGATTCACGTGATACTGAATTGTCTTGCCTTAAAATGTCTTAATTTATTGTTTTATAAGATTTAAAGCTGTATTGTGTTGCAAACAAACTTTGGACCCCATTTAGCCTCTATTTAAAAGTTCTTGGGTGCACCCAATGGGAATAGGAATGCAGAATGTAATTTTTGTCCCCTTTATTCCTTATTGACATTTGTGAACACCAAGCAGCTGCCCTAAGATCTTAACTGTTTTGCATATGAGTCTTCAGTGGTAAAAGGACAGATTGCAAAACTGAATTTGTAAAACTCTTTTTCAACACCAGGTATTTCTGTACAAAAAAAAAATGGGAGTTGGGGTAGGTGTTTCTGAGTAGCATTGGAGAGGGAGTAAATAAGTAGGAGGTTAAGCAGTCATCTGCTTTTGGCAATCTGTTTTAAGAAAATGGAATTACACTAGGACTATTTTTGCATTAAATTCTGCAGATTTATGGACTTTGTGTACTGATGCAGGGATTATCAGTTTGTATGAGGGTATTGGGTAGGTCTTATCCATTGGATTGACAGAGAAGTCTTGGACACAAAGCAGTCTCCATGGCTTGACTTGGAACAGAGCAGCAGTGTCCTGATGGTCTAATTTTCTGTTCCAGATGCCTCCTTGTCTGTCCTGCTGATGAGTTCAGAGGAGTCGTGTCAACAGTGGAAAAGCCACTCTAGGTTAGCAAAGGTAGATCTAATTCAGGTAGTTTAAAAAAGAAAAATCCGAGATCAGAATAGTTTGAGGAAATCAAAATTTAGCTGAATTCTGGCAAAATGGTTTCTGTGGTTTTAGGTGCTTTGGAAAGCTGTGAGCTGCAAGACAGAATGTAAAAGCATGTTGAACTGAAAGGCTGTGGCTGTGTAGCTCTGAATCCCTCCATTGGCAGCACCAGTCACAGCCCCCGTGTGCAGAGCCACACAGAAATGTTCGTAGGCTGCCAAGTTCAACGCAGTTCAGCAGGGAGAGAAATAGGAAGAAACAGAGGTGATGGCAATATGTTGTGTTGATGTTGTGGAGGTGGCTCATAGCAGAGGGCTGTGGAAAGCAGCCAGTGTAAGGGCACTGAGACTGCAACTTCTCATACAAGAGTCCAGAGTCATCTCTTCAACTTGTTACATTGCACCACTCACATTCCAACATACTGTCAGTTTCTGGGAGATCATAAGAAAATCATTGTATACTGTGCAATCCAAAAACGATAATTAGCAAGAATTGTGGTGTAAACAGTCATTAAAAATTCATTATAACATCTTTTTAACTGTAGTAAACATGTCTACCAGTAGATTCTCTTATGACTTCGTTTGTTATATTTGTAGCCACATACTAAGTGAACTTTTGAACCCAGTTTTTAAAATGGTTTGCTCCATATAATCACCCAGCAAGAAGGCCAAGGTTTCTTTCCTTAGTCCTCTGCAAAGAGGTCAGTGCTGGTGAGAGGGTGCTGGATCGATGGCCATGGAAAGCAGAGCTGCTGGTGGTGTGGGGTGTGCTGAGGCAGCGTCTGTCGGTCCTGTGGCATCAAAGGTGCCATTCGTGTGTTGGCCCTACAGGAGACCGACAGAAGCTCCACAAAGCCTTGGCACCTGTGCTTGGGCACTGTCAGAACAAAGCTGCCATATGTTTTTAGGGCTTGTTTGGAATATTTAGTACCTGAAATATGTTCCTGTTTCTGCTCAGATAAGGTATATCAAATGTATTTATTATCTGCTTTCTAGAATAAAAGGGTGGTTTTAGTATTAGTTATTTTCTGTCCTGGTGATATTTCCAACAAACCATCTGACCTAGAGTAACTTACTTAATCTTTGCTTTTTGTTTCTCTGTTCATAGAGTAGGGAGATGATTGCTTGACTACTTTGCTATTTTTAGTTCTAGTTGTTAAATAATAAATGTTTGTTCTGCTGAAGTATGACAGATTTTAGGGCCTTTCTGCCAGTAGGTGCAGGTTACATTGCCCTTGGCACAGCCTTTTTCACTTTGATTAGAGTGTAGTTGTCTATAAATACTCAAAATGCGGAAAGAAATATTAACAGCAGTCCATGCTCTCTAAAACAGTAGTCTTGCATAAAGCTTGCAGAGTGCCCATGGCCTTCAGCTCCTCTTATCCAAACTCCAGGACAGAAATAACCTGTAATTCTGCTTTCATTATGGAAATTTGAAATAGTTCAAATTTGAATGACATTTGCACTGCGTACATTACAGAAGTAGCAGCTCTTCCAATTGTTCCTTAGTATATTCTTCTATCTTATTTAAAGTTTGGCCTGACTAGGTAAACGATGGAGAAAAAGCATATTTTTTTTTGCTTGGAGTTTTCCTCTGGTAATTCCCTTTTGACAGCTTTGAAATGAAGCTTGACTCATGTTTGTGACCTGACAGTAGATCAGCAGGCAGAGAAAGCCACCAATCCACCAAAGTCAGGAGACCTGAAAGATATTCTTTGATTTTTGGGGACTCGTGTTCAGATCTCTAGGTTCTCTGGCTCAAGCAGAAACATGAATAAACTCTCTTTCCTATAGCACAGATTAAGTCCTTAACCTCATTTTATGCTGAATAGATCTTTGTCTCTTTGTGCTGGAGAAATTTGCAGCTACAAGTTAGTGTCTCCCAGAATGGAAACAGATATCAAAACCTGCTATTTTAATTTAAAAAAAACTTACCCCACATTGTTTTGGTCATCCTGATTTATTTCACTGGTGTTTATTTTGCTCAGTCAAAATGCCTGTTAGAATGAAAAAGAAAGTTGCATCTGTTTCAATGAAAATCTTGTTCTGTGTCTATTTTAGGCATCTAAAGGACAAATTCATTTGAAGCAGATGTGTGTGGCCACTGATCTCTGGTTTAATTTGTTTGCTACTTGTTTTGTGCATTTCTGTAGTTTCCTATCTGTATTTGGTAACTGTCAAAACAGAAAGAGCAGAGATTTCTGTTCCTTTATGTGTTACTGAAAGTCTTTGCTTAGCTGTGACTTGAGGTTTTTAATTCTTTGTCCTTAGTTTTTCTGTCTCAGAATATAAGATCGTGGCGGTATTTTGAGTGCTTGATAGATTTTTGGCTAAATTGAAGCCGAGTTGTAAAAATTAGTATGAATACTGCCTAATCCCCGTCTTCATTGAATCTCCCTTTGTTTTATATGGTTCCAGTTGCAGGAGATAAAGGTAATGTGTGAAGAGCAAGAGTACCAGAGGCGATGCTTTGTGCTGGCTTTACACCTCAGTCCTGCAAGCAGTTCAGCATGCTTGTGCATTTTTCTAATGCAGCTTCAAGAAATATGATTTATAAATAGCCTTTGGAGAATTAGACCATCTTCATCTGATGTGATAGAACCAGTCAATCAAGGTCAGGATACTTCAAGCAGGATTTTTTACTTAGATCCTTTTAAGTAGCAGAAAAGGGTTCCCCAGACATTTCACAGGCTCTGTGGTTTTTAGAACAACGGTAGCATAAGCTTTAACAGGCTGCACAAAGGGGAGTTGGTACAAGATGGTGCCAGCATCACATTCTTCCTTTTGATGCCCTGACTCTCTTCCACTCTAATGACCTGTTTTTTCCACACTATTGACCTATTCGGGGATTGGGGTGGGAATTTATAGAATATTTTGTGTTCTTGTTTCTTCTTATTTATTTCCATATGCATCCAACCTAGTGCAAAGAAAAATGAGTGAGTGAACCTTTTTCTTTTTAGTCAGTTAGTAGACCAGCTGAAATGCTCCTCCAATTTCCCAAATTCTGTGATTCTGACTGAATTAAAAAATTGTAAATTTTTGATGCTTTGAACAATTGCAATAATAGCAACTGCAGTTATTAATGGATTCACCAGACCATTTACATTGAGAACAGGTGGATGTCAGCTGAGGTTGAAGAAGACTGTACTTACCAAGACTGTAACTAAGTTTTGAGGGTTTCAGAAATACGAAAACAGCCTAAACAAAATGTTTTAATAAATTTTAAGTAAACAAAATGCAGTCTTTCCCAAATCTACTTGCACTGACTGTCACACTACATCTTCTTGCTGCCACTTCTTCAGTTTTAAGATGATTTTCTCTAAATAGATTCAGTCTCATCTAATAAGCTTAGGTTTATCTAATTATCACCCAGGTAGGATTACTTCTGTGAACTGCCTGTGACTTATTTTAACTCTCCCGTTCTGAGGAAGTTCTGCCTTCCCAGGGCTTTCCCTTGCTACTGTTGCTGGAAGCTGAAGAAGTTGTGCAGAAAGTGCTGCCTTGGGCCAGGCATGGAGAGGAGTGGGGTTGGAGTGCAAACAGTGAGATAAAACATCACTTTCCAGCTGCCTCTGTGAAGGATGTGAGGAAGCCACAATCCTCAGCCACCTCAGATGTAGGGATGCAGTTTTGCTCATGGGAGAGTCACCGGCTCACTCCTATCCTTTGGAAAAGGTTCTGCTAACACAATCCCAGTTGCATTTTTCCTTTGTTGTTGGGGTTTTTTGTTACTGTCTTTTTCTTTAATTAGGGGAGTTGGCAGGTGGGACCTGTATAGCTGAGTGGCTCAGACAGGGCCCTTCCACACAGCCCCTTCCTCCTACCATGACACAGAAATGGCTTCAGCTGCAGTGGGCACTGAGATTACTGCAGTGTATTTTGATGAAAGGTTTAATATTTCATCTAAAACTTCGGCTTCTGCGTTGCACTTGGGCACATTAGATTTGGAAGGGAGAACTTGTTTTCCAGTTCAGTGTCAAACTCATGGGGAGAGGAGGGAAGAATTTATTTTGCCTAGGATGCTTTTGTCTTGCGGGTTAGTGCTTACCATGCAAGGTAGTCCCGCCCAGACAATGCCCTTTGGTGTGCTGTGTGGGTTTTTGCCATTTAAAACAAAAAGAGTTAAGTTCCTTGGACAAGAAGATATCTAATAATGAAGTACAAATTTTCTTGTTAAATTTCTGTCTTCTCAAAGTGATTAATTTTCTGTAAATTCTTTCTTTGGAGAACATTGACTTTGCAATAATGAGCTTGCTAAAGGAAAACCCACCAATTTAAATGCTGTGATTCATTCAGGAAAGGAAGAACAGAGAATTTGACAAAATGGACCCATTATTATTAAGAAATACTTCTCTGGATACATGGTGGTCTGAGCACCACTGCTCTGTAAGCTGCTGTAGAGCCACACAGAAATTGGAATCAGGAAATTTCAGGAGTTTGTCAGTGGAAAAAAGCCCCAACCAAATGTTGTGGTTTGCTGCAGCTTATAAAAGTAACACACCCAGTGTCTGTTACCTGTGTGCTTCTGGACGTGTTTCTCTTGGCTTGGGTCTGTCACACTGCTGGTGGACCTGTTCTGTGCAGCAGTTCTGGGCTAGGGTTTGCTGGCCGGGATTATTGAGACTCCGTGCTCTCCCAGCACCCTTCCCTGCATACTGTGTCCCACCAGTCCTTGTGCAGGGTCTGGGGTCAGGGATGAAGAAGTGGAACCTCCTCTTTTAGGTGCTGCTGTCGGTTTTGTGCCAAAGAGGTTGGTCTGGACATGACTGGGTCTGGTAGGGAGCCCCAGTTTGAAGTGAAGTGTAGGTTTTTGGTTTCCCCACTCTCCATTCTGCTCACTGCTGAAGTGAGCCAGGTCTCACTGTGTATTGATCCCTCCTCTTTTCTCTTCCTTCTGGAAAATGCTACATTGGCAGTAAGACACCAGTAAAGACAAAGAGAATTAGCAGCAATCCAGAAGTTGTAGTCTGACTTTAAAAAGATCCAAGTGAGTCTCCAACTCTGTACTGATGGTGCACCACCTCAGGCAGTGCTTCTGTAACATCTTCCTGGAGGAAACATCCTGTGCTTCCTACTGCATGGCCTTCCTTGCATTCCTGCTGAGCAGGCCCTGAGCATGTTGCCACAGTTGATTTTTCTTCTGTTTTTAAGTCCATGTAGCTGGTTTCAGATGACCAAAAGGTGGTCTCTGTGTAGCAACCACTGGCTGCACACACCAGGTAAAACACCGTTGTGTCTGATCCTAGCTGGTATCCTCTGGAGGAGGAGTGTGGCATAACTGAGATGGGTGTTAACTGAAGGGCTTGTGTGCAATAACAGTTTCAATAATTGATTTCCAAAGGAAACAAAAAAAATATATATTCACTTAAGTTTTTTAATTACTTCAATAAAGTCTGTGACAGTTAACTATTAGTAAATATAGTGGATTGCAGGATCAGGTCTGGCATTCCATGCTGTTACAGTATAGCTGGTTGTGATGCTGGATTCTCAGAAGAGCTTCATGTGTGCTCTGACAAGATCAAGTTTTCAAGTTACATGTCTGGTTACAGAAGTGATCTGTTGTTAACATTTTTCCAGATTCTGCTTTTATTGCATTTGCATTTTGTAATTGTAACAAGTGCTTTCTAGTGGGTGATGATGTGCAAATAAAATAGGAATTCACATTTCTAGTCACACAGTGCTCACATTCATGTTCTTTCACATAAGTAAATATATTCTTGTTTGAAATTATATTATTTAGGAATATACTGTCAGATGACAGTTTTTAGCTGTCAAGCTCAACTGTTCTTATTTGCTTCCCCCCCAACTCTGCCTCTCTCCACCTTTTTTTTCCCCAACCAAAACACCTTCTCTAGCAAGAAGTTGAGAAGTTTACAGACCTAGAGAAACTCTACCTCTACCTTCAGCTGCCTTCGGGTCCCAACAATGGAGACAAAAGGTATGTATGTGTGTGAGTGTAAAGGTGAGCAGCTAGTACTGAAAATTTGCTTTACTTCCTGTGGCATTTAACTGCCGAGGAATCATTCACATGATGTTGGTAGCAGAAGCAATCTTTATTAAACATTTTCTACTCTTGTTTTCGTGAAGATCAGATGTTGGGTTTTTTTTAAACTTTAGAATCTTTTATTGCATGAAAGGCTTGTGATTATAAATATCCTAAAATGAAAGAGTCATCAGAGAAAGTGTTTCACAGTCTGTGTAATTGTTCCTTCACTGTTTATGTATGAAGTCATAAAATAGCAACACCAATGTGATGGTGGGTGAAAGAAAAAACTGATGGTATTTCTGGTAACACTTGTTTGACTAAAGGAAGTCCTAGAAAACAAACCCACAGATCAGTGTCACAAAATAAACCTGTTCCTAGGACGGTTACAGGCAGGCAGGTGCCTATAGGAAGCACACTGAGTATCTCCTGGGAGAACTGGGTGTTCCCAAAGGACAGCTGGCAAATTAAGTGGTCAGAAGCTTAGAGGTGGCCAGTAAGGAATAATAAATTTAAGAGTCACTGTCTATCAGTCAAGAACTGGAGTCTGGAGTCTCTTTGTTAAATTGTGGATGAAAGAGGGAGAAACTGCTGCCCATGGCACAAGGAAAAGGTAAATCCATGAGGCACCTTTTTGTCTCTAGTGTCTCTCCACCTGTATAGACAGACAGTTATTAAGTCTTGTAAGTGAGGAGGAGCTGTAGAGCCATGTCTTCATCAGCACTGCTCATTCTCTCCTCAGTGATCAGATCTCCATGTCGTCCAGCCGTGCCCAGCAGATGCACGCCTTCTCGTGGATACGCAACACCCTGGAAGAGCACCCCGAGACATCCCTTCCCAAGCAGGAGGTTTATGATGAATACAAGTGAGTGCCATATGAACGTCTTTAGCCAGTGCAGTGTTGTGTGATGCTCACTCTGCAGGTACCCAACTTGTGTGTGTGGACACGTGATGGGCCATGCTGCTGTACCTGAGAATGTAGTAGCTACTCTGTGGCATTCATTACTACTTCCTCTGGAGACAAGACTGTGATGTTTAAATTGTGCATTACATGTACAGCCTTACATGCTGAAGGAAAGGTACAAGTATTTCTTAAAAAGTAAATATCAGTATTGGGTGAATGAATGAATATTGGTTTTGTTTTGCGCAGAGTGGCCCAGGTGAAAAGCATCAGTTACTGTCTTACAATGTGTGTTGGTCTGCTTGTTTACATACATATATGACTGCCTTAACAAGGGTGAGGGGTTGAATTGTTCCCCATAAATGCAGCTATTTTGCACATACAATCTTGCCCATCTCACCTTTCTTTCCAGAATAATGCATAAATATTGGACCTTCTTGTAGCAAACCTGATTTCTACAGAGGCACAATATATCTGAATATGTATGAAACCAGAACCAAGGCCACTGCGAATCTGTGTTGTCAAGTCTCAAAGCTACCGTGTAATGAGAAAGCGATTAGAAGCAAGGGAGAAGGAGCTGTCTGATGAAAGTTGGATTTGAATTCATTTACAGAACATACCTCATGGGGGAGGGGGAAAGAAATAATCATCCTCAGCCCAGTTGCCTGAAGATGAATAACAGATTTATGATCTAGTATGAGTATTTCCATAATCTGAACGATTACAGTAATTTGCAGGGAGCTGAATCCCTTCACCTCTTAAGTGCCTACAGGATTCACCCCATAGTAATTGTTATTGCAGGGTTGTCTTCTGCAAATACCTCCTTTTAATTATCTCTCTCTGCTGAAGTGTTTTACTCTGATTGAGCTGAAGCATGATGGCACTGGCTTGCCTGGGGTTGATAAACATGCACACACCTATTTCTGAGCTCCTGCACAGCCAGGAGCGGTGACGCAGCCTGGCAGTGCAGCCAATGGCACCGACGTGCCGGGATGGCCAATCCCCGAGCAGCAGCCGCTCGCGCAGACACAGCAACAGCGGCAGCTGCTGTGCGGGAGAGAGATGGGAGCGTTATTCTTAAATATATTTCTTATTAAATAATTTATGGCCTGCTTCAGCAACAAATCTGCTTGGCTTCCATGCTGTGCCAAGCTGCAGATGCCCGGAAATATCATCATCTACAGATTGTGGAGTGTGAAATTTGGATGGCTTTGTATGTAGCTGCATCAAGTATTTGTGTATTGTATTTTTTTTCCCTAACAAAATAAGGGTGGTAAGCAAATACTCAGGAAAATATCAAATGTTTGGAATCTGTTCTCCTTTGAAAGCTTCTGTTCTGTTTTTAAAACATTCAGTTTCTTTGAATATTTTCATGAGCTATTCTTGCACACCAAAGGAGAAGTAGTCTTGGAGTGGGATGTGGGGAACAGGCATATAAATATGTGAGTTAGTTTTGATAAGTCTTTTTTCTTTACCTAAGAGTGCTAAGACCTCTCAAAACTCAGTTCTGTTATATGAACCACTTCTCTCTTCCGTGTGCAGAGATGGAATGTTGCATGAGCTCACATAAGCAAGCTTATGCACTCTGCATGTGTAAATCAAAAGTGCAAGGCTTCAGGAGAGTGCTGCACCGTACCAGCATTTTCATTCCTGATGTAAATTTTGGTTAAAATAAATCTTGCAAAACTACCGGCATTCTGCATCACCTTGCATGTTTTTTTTCTTATGAAGAGGGAAAGACAGAAGCTTGCACTCCACAGAAGTTGCTGACAGTGTTTGCAGTTCTTCCACATTTCAGTAGCCCCTTCTCACTGGGGTTATTCAATACAGTGGCTCTTCTTTCTGTTTTGTTACTCTTCAATTCAAGTGTGAATTCATGTTTCTAACTGGATAAAAGTAAATGGATTCATCTTTCTTTTGAAAGGGATAAAATAAATTAAAAATGCATCACAATATAAGGCAGTAGCACTTGGGAAGGCTGAGAGCTTGCAGCTGAATTTTAGAAAGGAGGTAGATGAGAGCTGTTTCACCTCCTGTTGGTGCTGTGATGCTGCTTGTACTGACAGAATACACTGAGCTGTAAGAAGCTGGGTTTCTGTTGGGTGCTCACAGTTCTGCCAGCTATCCTCTGGGCGTTATCTGGGAGTACAGGCTGGAAAGCATGGGAGCTCAAAGGGAGGTGCCCAGCATGTTATCCAGCCTGCAGTGAATGGATGCTGCTTCCCGTTAGATCCTTTCAATCTTTTCTTGTAAGTCAGTTTTACTTGGATATCTTGTTCCTATTAGAAAACATCCTCCTGCACACAGTCATGTGTAGATTTAGCTGAGTTTAGAGAACTAGGATTTCAAATCTAAATGCAGTCATGCTGTACTTATGCAGGCAAAATCCTTATTTGTCCACAAAATGATTTGTTGAGCCTTCAGTAAACACTTGAGACCTCTTATCTTACTTTACTGCCATGATGCAAGGGACGAAAGTCATTCATATCTAAATTTTGTGTCCTGAAGATTCACTTGATACGCTTAATATGGATTAGGAGGTCTTTGAGTCATCCTGTATCTCTTTCCCTTAGTCTGTAAATCATTAATCCTTGCTTTACTGGCTGCTAGGCCACTTGGTGCCACCTGATGCATAGATCATACGCACTAAGTGTTAAGTATATCAACGAACAAGTTAGAAAAATATTCAGAAGCTAGCACAGAAGAGGACAGTAGGTATAGGTATACCATGTCTGTTGAACACATGAAGGACACAAAGGACATACTAATCTTGTTGGGTAGTGCTTATCCAGGGTTTTTATATAAAATTCCTTGTTAGGAATAGGATGGGACCTGTTGTGTTGCAAAGTCTAGTCCCATGTCATAAGCAACTACACATACAAGTCCTTTGAAAGCAAATCAAACTCCATCCAAAACAGTTGTTTCTCACCTATGCTGCTGATCTTGGTAGTCTGACCTGCAATTTCATTTCTCTAGTTGTTTTCAGACATCTGGTTTCCATTCTACCTGATTATATTTATATGCCAGCATTGTTTCTCAGCTCAGTGAGGTCTTACAACTTTCTGAGGTTCCTGACTCTAACCATTTTTGGAGACCAGTTGTTTTGGGGATTGGATAAACCAAGAACTCTGTTTTGTTTCATTCAGTAGGTTCTTTTTCATTTAATATTCATGCTGGTTTTTTCTGCCCAGGAAGCTGTGTAAGCTGGGCTGCACGGCTTGTCTTCATCAGCTTTTTGGTTAATTATTTTTTGTGTGTGTTTTAATTCAGGTGCACTGCCAGTGTATTTTATGTCTGGAGTACATTTAATTTGAAAATCTTACAAAAAAAAAAAAAAAAGCCTTTTCTGCTTATCATGTAGGGGAGCTGTGTACAAAGGAACAAAGCAACCGCGTGTCCATTGTCATTCCTATCTCTGCTTAGACCTTCCCTCCCCCTGTCTGTTTCCCACCCACCCTTCGAAGAGCAAAACAGCTCCTGGGCTCAGCAATGTGCCAAGAGTGCAAGTAGCAGAGAGATGAGCTTCAGGGGAGAGACTCCTGGTATGTCCTGTCAAGTCAATGAGAGACCACCGATGGATGTGGAGGGTTCTCAGCCAAGCCAGGAGGGGGAGGGGCCATGTAGGATGATCTGTCTGAAAACTGAAATTCCATGATTATACTGGTAGCTCAGAAATCACAAGCTTGCAGGAGCTGCCACTTTGGATATGAGGGGACCATTTAGATTGTATGTTTTTGCTGCTAGCAAGTGATTGTCTTAAACCAGATGTGCTAGACTCGAGGAATGGATAATTTTATTCCCTTTTTCTTTATTTCTTTATTTTCTTCTAAGGGAGGAATAATTTTAACTTTGAAGTTAAGAGATTGGTAGATCCCTAATCCTGGTGTTTTACTAGTTTGGTTTTTTTCTTTTTTTTTTTTTTATTTTATTTTGCTGACATTGTTGAGTTTCAATCAAAGATACTGCTGACTATGGCAGAGAAATTTGGAGAGTCCTCCTTTGAATGGTGTTTGAGACTTAAAGTCTTGTAATCAGCATCGGTAAGCAACAAAGACCCTCCATTCAGGAATTTTCAGACTAAAGTTTGAATCCATGGAGGCTTGGCCAGATTCAAGTTACAAAAAGCACACAGAGATCTATTTATTACACACGGAGCAATGTCTGATTCCTATGAGGGTAGGAATCAGAAAAGTGAGGCAGGAAAGAAGAGACATATCTAGAAAACAGCTTCTGTGAGTGACATACGTTGAAATAAAATGTGTTGGTATATAAATTGGATATAAAGCTTCTTGATGTTCCATGCAGAAACTAGACCGATGCCTGACTGTACACCAGTTGTAAGCAGTGCCTCCTGGTGTGGACAGAGTGGCCCTGGACATGGAGGGAGGAGGCTCTGCAGGGGAATGTCAGATCCAAAGAGCATAAATGTTGTTTGTCATCATCAAAATCATTACATCCGTGGTGGTGCTTTCCAAGTGAAAGATACCAATATACAGCCAGGGTAAAGGCAGCACATACTTGCTCTGTAGTTACTAATATTTTTACTGAGAAAGTGAAGGCAGTGGAAGTATCTGAAGAAATACATACAGCTTTCTACAGAGCTGCAGCCTGAAGAGAAGACCTTTTGACTGGTCCACTTGGATGCAGATTGTTACTAGGTGATGCTGGGGGTGAAGCATCTGCCTCAGACTGCTGCTTTTTCTTTGCATCTGCCTGAGTTTCCAAGGGGGTTGTTTGTGTGTATGTACCTGATTAGAGTAGCAGGCAACTATACGGTGTGAAGTCATTGTTTCTCTGCTGTCTTACTGATAACCACACTGATTGTGTAGTCACCCTTTCAGAGGCAGGTTGTTTTTGTGTATTGCTGATAGGACTTCTCACAGGAAAGAAGGTCATTGCTATCTTGTGCTGATGCTGTGGCTGTTGGGAATCTCATTGAGGAGGTTTTATACTGGTACATTTTAGGCCACAGCACATCCCTGCTGTGCAACAGCACAGGGAGTTGCTGTCTTCGTGCAGCCCTGAGCAATTCCAGAGTAGGTGCCGGTTTTCTCCTTTGCTTTATGTTTCTGATTTTCCAGAACATTCACCTTTTGCGGCAAAGCCAACCATTTTTGTTCTCCGTTTCAAGAGCATGTTTTTTAAATGTCTTAGATGCTGAAACAGAATTCCTTTTGCTGTTTTTGAGAACTGAAGACAGATAACAGTGCCCATTTTATTAGTAAAGATGGCAAAACGATTGCATTTTGTTTCTTTATTCCCCTGTATCATCAGGTTGTATACTGAGTCACATGATGCTCTTCATTTGCAGCAGCAGTTGGAATCTCTGTTAATTTAGGGCTGTTGCATAGTGTAGTCTATAATCAAGTATCTCTCATAGTTCAGTAGAGTCACAGTGGTAGGAGGGCTGGGTCCTCAGTATAAGCTTATGTTTCACCTATAAAGCTGGTTCCCTGGGAAGGCATCTTTTAAGTTTAGTTCTGTTAAGGTCTATTATTTATAAAATATATTATATTATATATATAATATAATATATATTATTTATATATTATTATACAAGCTGTATATGCAAAATCTTTCTTTGGACACTGACACATCTCTTACCTACTGCTTTTCAAATATTCCTGCAGGACTTCAGGCCTTACACTCAAGCTGTGCTTCTGGCTGGAACAGGGTCTCTGCTTTATTATGTCTTGAAATAAGTGAATTGAAACATGCTTCAAACTGAATTGTGGAGTAAATCTTAGCTGTGCTCTAGATAGTGCCACTGCTTGTTATGTCTCCACATGACTTGTCTTTGAACTCAGTAGAGAACAAGGCAAAAACTATGATATTAATAGCTCTGTTTATACATTTTTAATGCATTCAATTCGTTGTGGATAGCTTCATTAATGTTAAATGTGGTTCTAAATATGGATGGGGATAAGTGTTTTCTTTTGAAAACCTTTGGAGTCTAGCATGTAGGCTGGCCTCTTGTATTAACTACAATTCCATTCACGCTTTCTTTCTCTTTATTGCAGGAGCTATTGTGACAATCTTGGCTACCACCCATTAAGTGCTGCTGACTTTGGAAAGATCATGAAAAATGTCTTTCCAAATATGAAGGCCCGTCGTCTAGGCACAAGAGGCAAATCAAAATATCCTTTGCTAGAATGCTTCTCAGTAACTTCTTCTGCACTTGCCTGGAGAACATCTGTCATTATGGCTTAACTACTGGCTAAATGTGGAAGTAATGTTGAATAAAAAATGCCGACACTTTTCCAACGTTCTTTAAAAATTATTAATTGCAGTAGTGTTAGGTTGCAAGGTATAACTTTGGAAACAAGTACTTAAATTTAGGTTCTGACACATAGTTGTCACAGCAGCAAGGCATCAAAGTATTTAATAATTTAGTGCAAAGAGAGATATTGGAATAAAGGAACCAAAACTGTGAGTGATTTTCAAACCAGTTTTTTCATCAGTCAGAATTTTTTCTTTTCTGAGCCAAGAATTACACTTTCCCATGAGAACCCTTAGAAGCCTTGGTGAAGTAATGTCCTACCTGCTGCATTCCCCAGGGCTGGCTCTCGCTGCATCCTGATGTGCTGGGTAGGCAAAGCGCCTGCAGTAAGCTGGAGATGAAGAGCATGAAAAGGCTAAAAGGCATTGAGGCACTCATAGGCCCTAATTAAAAACCACTCAAAAGAAGTAACAGTAATGATGTGGATGTGTTGTGATACTGGCTTTTGCCAGGTCTCACTTGAAGCATGCACTTAGAGAATTAAGCGCTACCAGGCAGCCCAGAATTGCTTGTCTTCCACTGAGGGAAAAAACCTTCCATGTTGTAGTAAATGGAGAAGTTATGTGTCAGTTAAACTGTTTCATACAATACAGTGTTGGTTATTTAGCAGTGAAATCTGAAATTTAGTACTCATGTTTGCATAGAGCTAGAGAGGTGTTAAGGAAGAAATCATACAATGTAATTGTAGCTTGACCCAGGGGATATCTCTAAGTTCTATTTTCAATGTTTCTAATTCAAAATGATCAAAATGTGACCTGGTCTCACACCTACCGTAATTCCCAGGCTCCTTGGATTTCTTTTTCTGTAATTATGCTCCATCCAGGTTAATGCAAATGGCCTAGGAAAGAATACAGACATATTTAAAATTAGTGATCGTGGAAAGGAAGAAAAAGTCTTTGTCTTTATTTTAATTATCATGGATAAGGAGAGAGTGCCTCAATAATGGTGTGAAATCTTAGGAAGAAATGCACTCATAGGACACTTTATCTTGTCCTGGGAAAATTCAGTTTGAGGAAGTCCTTCAGGAGAAGGAAATAAAATAGAACCTAAATTCAAGAATGCATTTTTTAATAGTGACTTTTTTCTTTTTTTATTTATTCTCCCATCTTGTTTAGATGAGTGTTTAGTCAAAACTTATGTTAATTATTTGAATATTGAGTAGCTAATTGCAGCTGCCTGGCATGGTTTAGTGCTTGTTCTAAGTCATCAAATGAAATTCGTCATAGCCAGCATCTCTGCATAGGCTGAGAAACCCAATGACATGGCCAAGAATGCAGCCATTGATAGACTTTTGATTCTGGCTGGCTGTGAGATCATGCTAATGACAGGAAGTCTTAGTTCTGTGTTGAGTTTTTGCCTTTGAAGCTTATGTGGGTTATCAGAGGAATTACTGCTCTTCTCTCATATCCCCTAGCTAACAAGCATACAGTGTAGACCTTAATTGTTGTTCACATATTGCTACAGTGGACTGAGGAAGAAGGCTTTTGTGCATATGCCAACACTGCCCAACCTTGACTTTCATAAAACTGGAGATGGGGTATGATATATATTTACTTATTTATATATATTTCTGCAAGTTAACATTTATTATGCTGTTTTTCTGTCATAACTTTTCAAAACAAAATGAGGATCTGTGCAGCTTTTAAGATTTTTCTTTATGACTCCTATATTCTGAATCGTTGTTTAATGTTTTTCTCTGTAAAATTCACAATGAATTGCAAAACTCTCAAGCTAATTTAGGAGGTAAAGTAGATTTCTACAGTGTTCCTATCCACCATATACACGTTTTTAACTCTGATTCTGTTTTGCTTTTGCTGTATTTATTTAAGGCAGTGCTAGGGAAGAGATACCCCTGTGAAAGAAGCAGTTCCTGGGTAATAGTGAGTGCTGAGTTGGCAAGACTCTGGATATGGGGAAAATCAATTGTTGGTGCTCCAAATATTAGGATTCTGTGTGATTTTCTTCCAGAAATGTAAATTCCACATAATGCCTTTGGAAACAACCTGTAGATTATCGTTAAGACATGTAATTTTGCAAGATACTAATGTTGTGATCTCACTCTCATAACTTCATGTAAAACTCTGAACATACTGCTCCAACTTTTGGTGTGATTCTGATAATAATTTGCTTTCTATTTTTGTTTTCATGCCTTAAAGACTGTATTAATTAAAGTAACCTTTCCTCCTTTGTTTGTTTGTTTAGTTGGATGGAGCAGAGCCATCGGGGCAGCTGCAAAGTGCGGATGAGGAAGTTGTCTCTGCAGCCTGCCGGCTTGTTTGTGAATGGGCCCAGAAAGTGCTGAGCCAGCCTTTTGATACAGTCTTGGAATTGGCTCGTTTCCTTGTCAAAAGTCACTATATTGGTACCAAGTCAATGGCAGCTTTAACAGTAATGGCAGGGGCACCAGCAGGTAATGAGATAATGCTGAATGTTAAAATAAGAGACCTTTCTACTGAAAGTAGTAACAGCTTGGTTTGAGGAAGCACTTCTGTTCAGGGCAAACTTTAACACTGACTCTGAGCATTGAGCATTCATTTATGTGATATTAGTCACATTGCTGCAAATTACTGTTCTTGCTGGTAGTCTGGGTAAAGATCTGAAAATCAGCATTGGTCTCAGGTTTAAATGGTGATCCTCCCATTGCTCTGGTGAGGACCCTGCACATGTAAAGCACTTCAGGGCATGTGAGTACTTGTGCTGACCTTTCATGATTGGCTAGAACAGGAGTTTGGTGCTGCTACAATGCTGGTTTCTAGATAGACTGCTGGTGTAGCTGTGTTTCTGTCTGCTAACTTGCCCTAATTTGGAAACAATTTTCTGCCAAGAGCAGATTTTTTTGTGTGGTTTGTTTCCTTCTGCATGCTCAAAATCAGTCTCTTAATCATTTAAAATGTGTTTTGGTGACCGTGGCTAAAGTAAATTACAAAAATGAAGGGTAAGAAGGGAAATGGAGGTGCACAGTATGCCCCCAGACCTGCCTTTGAGAAGTTCTGACTAGGCCTATCAAGCAAAATGTCTTCAGATCAAGGCCAACCTCTTGAGACAAGACAGTTTTAAATGGAAAATGGACTTCAGGTGATCCCCTTCTGGATCGCGTTCTTTCTCCTTCCAGCTCTCTTTCCTTTATTCCAGCTTGGACATGACAGGTGGCAGTGGTGGGTTTTGCTGCTTGTATGCTCCATTGTGACCTAATGCTTGGCTACATTGGTTCTGCTTGCCGTGCTGCTAGAGGGGATGCTCAGTGTATGGACAGCTCTTCAACTCACATAGCTTCTCCCCCTCACTTTCTTCAAGACAAGATGATTTCCTTCAAGGAAAAGGGCAGTCAGTTACTTCCAGTGCATGCCTCTATGGCTTGGATAGTCATTTTGGAAGAGGCTCTTCGTAGCATGACAAACAAAAATATTTCCATTCCTCTTGCAGGAAACTACAGTGTCTGTGCATTAACTGAGAAAAAAACAACTTGCACCATCAAAGAAAAGTTTGAGGGTTTTTTTCTTATCAATATTACTTGCCCATATAGAATAACTGTGTGCCAGTAATTGCAATATATTTTGGCATTTCACTGCTCTGTGAAGAAAAAATTGTGAAAGTGGAGATGTTGTGGCATTCAACTTCTCATGGTACATGCAGACTGCTGCTGGGAGAGTGGGCTCCCAGATCACAGTTCCTAAATGTGTGCTGGGCATCAAAAACAAATACTTGGGTTTAGTATTGTAAAATTAGTATCAGTAAAACCAGTAAAGTAGTAAAATGATGTTGATTAATTATAATTAGGAGTTATTTTAAAACTGTGTAACCTCAAAGTGTAAATGAAACAATGTTAAAGCATTTCTAAAGGGGTAGTTCAGCAAGGTTATTTGGTCTCCAAAGAGCATGCTAATCCTCTTGACTGTTAATAAACAAAAGATCATAAATGTGATGTGATTTTGTAAGGGAAATTAGTACTAGCTGCACAGAGGACATAAAATCTGTTTTTTCCCTGAAAGCAGCACTTGCTGGCTTTGTGATCAGTGAAGTATTTTCTCCAGAAAAAAATTGTTCTCCCATTCTAATTTCCTTTGTTTTTTAAACTTTTTTCTTTTTTTTCCTGAACACTTGCCTTTTTGCCATTTTCCCCCCATTAACTGTGATCACACAGAGGTTTTGATCTATTCTGATATTAGATGCACTATATTTGATGCCTTGGCCATTAGATAATGTCATCTGCTCATAGTTGTTTCTCTGTGACACAGACCCACAGCTTTCTGGAAACATTTTTCATTTAAAGCTGCCTTAGAACAGGTAACAAAACAAAACTGAGCAGGTGCTGTATTTTAAAGGCTCATCTGAAACGTGCCCGCCGCCCTCTGCTGCCACTTTATTGAAGTGCACGAGGCTGAGATGGCGTTGACACACAAGTTACCATTTGACATTACTGGAAACAGGAGGCCCATACAGAGTATTTTAGCAGCTAAAGCCCAGCTTGTCTAACAGACAGAGATTTTGCCACAGATTTGGAAATAAACTGAAGCTGAATAGATTTAAGCATGAAGTGGATGGGAGCACCTCATTAAGGAGGTGGTCCCAGAATGGTTTTGGAGATGCCTGCCATGTATTCTCTGTTCGATACAGAAGTGGCACCACAGCAGACAGGCTATGTTTGTTTGTAATTCATTCTCCTTGTTTTGTTTTCAGGAATAAAAGGGATCCCCCAGCCCTCAGCTTTTATACCTACTGCTGAAAGTAATTCTTTTCAACCACAAGTGAAAACTCTGCCATCTCCTGTTGATGCTAAGCAGCAGCTGCAGCGTAAGATCCAGAAGAAGCAGCAAGAACAGAAACTGCAGTCTCCTTTGCCAGGAGAGTCTCCAGTAAAGAAAACAGAAGGGGCTGCAACCAATGGTGTGACCAGTATATCCAATGGAAGTCCTGCCATTCTGTCCCCTCCACCTATTGGCATTGTTGTGGCTGCTGTCCCCAGCCCCATACCGGTAATGCTCTCCATCAGTTCTCCAGAGAATCCACCCTATGAAAAGACCGTACATTGCCAGTAGCTGAGCAGTCGTGTCAGTGGATTAGAACAGTTTCCATTCAGAGGCTTGGGTGTCTTATGCTTTTCTGTCTGGGCTGTGTTATACCGCATTAGTTACAGGGTTGATAAAGAGGCAGCAGAATTCTGATCATGTAGCATGGGTCAAGTTCATCTTGGAAGTCATTAAAGTGAGCTTTGACATGAAGTTTAGCCACATGAGAGAGCTGACACCAGTTGTGTGGGTCACTGAGGCCCTAATACAAAATTTAAATTGCTTTTCATTGGCCCAGTGCATTTAGTGGCAGGTAAAATTTTATATTGAATGAATGTCTGTAGTACAGAACATTTTTGTCTTTCAGCCATATAAAATTGGGCTCTGTAGTACAGGACCGTTATTTGGTTTTAAGATGTTCACTGTGCTGTTCATTTTGGTAGATAAGCCAGTTTTTCTGCCTGGTAGTGAGTTTGTATTTAACTCACTTTTGAAACTTTAAAAATGAGCAGTATTTTGAACACATCCTCTTCTCTTTAACCTTTGTATGTCTGTCTTTTTGTCCCAGGTGGTTATACCAACCAAGAAACATGAGAATGACCCTTTCATTAGCAGAGAATTAGAAGAGCAGACTAGTGTGCATACCAGTGCCTCATGCCTTAAACATAGAGGGCATATATCTGTCTACCAATCCTTAGGCAGAGAAATAGAAATTATCTTGGACAAGTAGGAGAGCTTATTTTGTTTCAAACTGATATTCACTAGCTTTGGTGTATTGAGCTATGTTGTCTTTCACCTTTGAAATGCTTGGGGCTGAGGTAATGTATGGGCTTTGGGGTCTTCTTGCTACATTGCCACAACTTTTTCTCTCTTTACAGGTGCCAAGGACCAGGCAGTTGGTGACATCTCCAAGTCCCATGGGATCGTCTGATAGCAAGGTCCTGCCGCTCAATGTTCAGGTGGTCACTCAGCACATGCAATCAGTCAAGCAGCCACCAAAGACTCCCCAGAACGTTCCCGCTAGCCCCGTTGGTGACCGCTCTGCCCGACATCGCTACCCGCAGATCTTACCCAAGCCAGCAAACACCAGTGCTCTCACCATCCGCTCTCCCACGACGGTGCTATTTACCAGTAGCCCAATCAAGACTGTTGTGCCAGCTCCACATGTGAATTCCTTAAATGTGGTAAAAATGACAGCAATATCTCTAGCCCCGAGCAGCAGTAGTGTGCCCGTCAAACAGACGCCTTCAGTTAGCACTAGTGCAGGAGCAGTGGAAGAAGGGAGGACTGGTCCACAGATCAAAAATGGATCTGTTGTTTCCCTTCAGTCTCCAGGATCCAAGCCTAGCACTGTTGTAGCTACGCCTGCAGTCAAGATCAAAACAGAACCAGAAGCATTGCTGGACGAGAACTCTGCACAGGGCCAAGAGAGCTCTGACATGTCTAAATCCATAAAGGCAACCCCTGACCTGCCTCCTGCACAGCTAATTAATTTTGAGGTTGCAGCCTTGAAGGTTTCAGCGGATGAGGTCGTGGAGCTAAAACCAGGTAAGGGCTGTGATCAGGAAGCTGAAGAAGCAGGGACCAAATATAAGACACAATCTGATGAAATCACACCAGTTTCTTCAGCAGGCAATAATCAAAGCACTCTTAAGCTCACAGTTGCCAGTCAAAACTTGTCCAGCACCAGCATCAATTCACCTCCTACTGGTGAGTCTATGATTAAAGAAAAAACATGTACTAAAAGTCCAAGAAAGCGACAACCTTCCACACTTCAGGATTCCCAGTTACCACCTGTAAAGAAACCACTAGTGGAGCAGTTCACAGCTGGTAATGCTGTGGAGGGTCAAAAAGCTAACAATGCTAAGAAGGCTCTGAAGGTTGGATCATTAGCTAACAGTGACAATACAGCAACACTTGCTCAAGTTCCTAGCAAGGTGCCCGTGACAGTACCTGTACCTTCTACAGCTGCTGCAAACTTAGCAACAGATCTTTCTTTGAGCACCAATTTAAATACCTGTGATCCTGCTTTAGAACAGCAGCTTGCATCAGCATCATCTCCAGATATAAAAGTAAAATTGGAAGGAAACTTGTTTATCATAGAAAATGATTCAAAATCTGATGGCAGCTTTAACCCAAATACATGGCACCATATCACCAAAACCTCTGATTTTGCATCTGTGAATTGTGATCAGCAGCAAGATATCAGTGTTATGACTATTGCTGGGCACTCTGGCTCTAGTGACTTACAGGAATCTGCGTGGGAGCCAGTGCACTGTGAAGGTATACAGCAGGATGTGTACAGCCAGCAGTTACAGAGCCAGATCCAGGACTCCTTGGATCAAATACAAGCACAGTCTTCAAATCAGTTACCTCTGCAGTCTGAGCTGAAAGAGTTTGAGCATGCAGTCCCTCAGTCAAATGAAAACTTCTTTTCATTTGATGATGACCTTACCCAGGACAGCATTGTGGAGGAGCTGGTGCTCATGGAGGAGCAAATGTCCATGAATAATTCCCATTCTTATGGTGGTTGTCTAGGAATGACACTTCAGAGTCAGGCTGCAGCTCAAGGAGCTCCTGTGTCATCTCACCCAAGCAGCACGCACTTTTACCATTCGATCCATAACAACAGCACTCCGATACACACTCCCACTCCCACTCCCACCCCAACTCCCACCCCCACCCCGACTCCAACACCCACCTCTGAAATGATTGCTGGATCTCAGAACATGTCTCGAGAGAGCCCTTGTTCAAGGCTGGCTCAGACAACTCCTGTAGACAGTGCCCTAGGAAGCAGCCGGCACACGCCTATTGGCACACCCCATTCCAATTGCAGCAGCAGTGTCCCTCCAAGTCCTGTGGAATGCCGAAACCCATTTGCATTTACTCCCATCAGCTCTAGTATGGCTTACCACGATGCCAGCATCATATCAAGTAGCCCTGTGAAGCCAATGCAGCGGCCTATGGCTACCCATCCCGACAAAACGAAGCTCGAGTGGATGAATAACGGCTACAGTGGGGTCAGTAATTCCTCGGTTGCAAACCACGGTATCCTTACAAGCTACCAGGAGCTGGTGGAAGATCGCTTCAGGAAACCTCATGCTTTTGCAGTTCCCGGCCAGTCATACCAGTCTCAACCGCGCCACCACGACACTCACTTCGGTCGTGTGACTCCTGTTTCACCTGTGCAGCACCAGGCAGCCCCTGTCTCTAGCACTACCAAGCAGGAGGGCTTTGCTGTTCCTGCTCCTTTGGACAACAAAGGAACTGGTTCATCTCTCAACAACAGTCTGAGATGTCGGAGTGTGAGCCCTGCTGTTCATCGCCAGCGTAATCTCAGTGGAAGCACTGTTTACCCTGTGTCAAATATACCACGGTCTAATCTGACACCTTTTGGAAGTCCAGTGACTCCTGAAGTTCACAATGTATTTGCTAATATCCATGCAGACACCAGTGCCAATAACATAGCACAGAGAAGCCAGTCGGTCCCATTGACTGTGATGATGCAGACGGCCTTCCCGTCTCTTCAGAAACAAACAAACACTAAAAAAATAACCAATGTGTTGTTAAACAAACTTGATTCTGATAGTGATGATGCAGTGAGAGGTTTGGGAATGAACAACATGCCCTCAAATTACACAGCCAGGATGAATCTCACTCAGATTTTGGAGACATCCACTGCTTTTCCTAGTGCCAACCCACAAAGCATGATCAATTCCAGCACTTCAGTTTATGAATTCCAAACACCAAATTACCTCACAAAAAATAGCAGCACCGATCAGATCAGTTTTTCTTCTGGAGATAACCAAGCACAATCAGACATCGGAGAGCAGCAATTAGATTTTAGCAGCACTGTAAAAGACCTTTTAGGGGAGGACAGTCTGCCAACAAACCAGCAGCTGGTGAATCAGGTGGCATCAGATCTCAATAATGTTGCATCTGTCTTTCCCAGCGACATCAGGTTGTCTTCCGAGCTCTCAGGCAGCATTAACGATCTGAACACTTTAGACACAAATCTACTGTTTGATCCAGGTCGTCAGCAGGGACAAGACGATGATGCTACACTGGAGGAATTAAAAAATGACCCCTTGTTTCAACAAATCTGCAATGAATCCATTAACTCAATGACTGCATCAGGTTTTGAGTGGATGGAGAGTAAGGATCATCCTGCTGTTGAAATGTTGGGTTAATCTTGTTTTATAATATGTATGTAGCACACTGTATCTAAAAGACAGACGTATTGTATTTGTCTTAATGGAAGTGCCTCCCGCAGCAGAAACACTTGCTATGTATTGTGGCATTTTTAAAAAAAGTTTGCTGTTGCTCATTCTTCAGTAAGGAAAAGGCAGTCTTACCAATTTTAAACAAATCTCTGAAGGTGATGGGCTATCAAAGAGCCAGTATTAAAATTTGAGTTTTGGAGTGTTTCCCATTCAACATTTCTTGTTTTAGCAAATAAAGAAGTGGTTAATGGCAGCCAATCAATGGTTGATGCTTTGGGAGGGTTTTAATTCAAGCTTGTTAGTAGACTTTCCATACTTTGTATTGGTTACTTCTTAGTAGGTGATCTTTACTGACCTTTGTCATCCAGGTTTGAAATGCAGGGTACCTGCAGGTAGGTGAGGTGGTGGGGAGTGGGTACAAGTGGACCAGGTGACATGCAGATGCCTGATAATTGTGTAGCTGTTTGCAGCACTGCTTGATGGTGAACTTTGGGATATCTCTGTAGCACTGGTGCCGTTGGCATCACCAGTAAAACACAGAGATGGTAAAAGTTAACAGGAATGATCAAGGAAAAAGATGCACTAAATTTTTTTTATTTAAGAGAAATAAATTTATGTAGTTGCTTTATCCATTAATATTCATGACATACTTGATATTTTAGTTCTCATGTCAATGTTTTTATATTAGGTAAAATAAATGCAAAAAGATTTTGAGCACTGAGATTTAATCTAGGCATAACCCCCTATTTTAAAGTGATAGGTACTGTTTATCAATGCTAGAGAAGGAACAAGATATTTTCCCTCTTTTTCCTTTTTTTTAATAGAGAGCTGTTGGAGCTCATTAAAACACTGTTTCTAAAGGTTCCTTTTCTTTTAAGTTTGCTCTTTCCTAACCTAGTGGAGGGCGTAGGAAGATGTTATTTTCTCTCTATTTCAGTAGGTTGGGCCTTTCTGTCTTGCTCTCTCTCTCTCAAACAAAAGATTATAAAAATATTAGAAAATGTGGTTAATCTAAAAATATTTCATATAGAGCCATAATACTGCCAGGCACTTTACAGATACACAGTAAGACATGTGATCTTTCTTTTGGTAAAACTTAACTTTAAATGTACTTACTGTTTTAGAAGCCTGAATTCCGTTTTCAAAAGTGATTTGACAGGGTTGATGAATCTAATTTTTTTTTTAAGGAAAAAAATGCTTCTCCTCTGGAAAATGAGAATTAGACTTCTGTCTCACTGGTTCACTCAAACCAAAAAAGACCTTTTATTTTATCAGCATGGCTCTCTAATGGTCAAAAGAGAGAGGTATTTACCCAGCTATGGCCTTGATGCTAGAAAGAGGGCTTGCAGAGGCAGGTTTTTATAAAAGAAGTGGTGCACTGAGTATGCTACAATACCATCTCCTAAGCCTAGTATGAAATTGATTACTTTTCCTGTGACCTGAAACAAAGCAGAAAATAGAGGAGGAAAAATTTTCTTTTACATTTCTTTGATGAGTGGTCATGAATTTATGAACGGGGAGGTTCAGTAATCCCCTCCTAGATTTCTCTAAGGGGAAGATGCTCAGATTTTTCATGTGATTAGTGTTTTTCTTTAAGTATCTTGGTGGTCTTCTGTTTATTCAGTTTTTGAAAATTACTCGAGATCCCAGTACTGGTCAATTATATTTGGCAGTGCTGATTCAACTTGTGCTACTGCATTGGCACTGGAGGTGCTGGTATATCATGGCTTCTCTTGCCCTTGCCCCAATTCATCACGAGTTTACGGCCTCTTCTGCAGGGACAAACAGTTGTGCCAAGTTATAGCACCTTATGGGGGCCTGATTTCACTGTGCTTGCATCAGAAGTTTTGCCACTTCATCAGGAACAAACCTGGACAGTTCTGATTCCTCCTTGAAGCACAAGGATGTTGTTGATAATGTGGTTTGCTTTAGACCAAGTGACTTCCAAGGCAATGGGGAGGAGACTAAAAGCTGCATAGTAACCTTCTGCTTGTTGTCCTGCCGGGTGTCTGTCAGTAAGACTTGAACCATTTTTCTTGTAGACTACAGTTGCTGAAGGCAGGGCTTGAATCCTGTACTTGCCCATGGCCTTTTGACAGAGATGTGCTGAACATCCTCTCACCCTGGTGGGAGGATGGGTCTGAGAGACACTCAGCACCTTTTTGTTTCTGTTTCCTGACCCTGTGTGAAGTGCCAGCACTACTGTGAATAGGTGAAACCTGCTTTGATGAAGGGGGAGGGTCCCTTCCAACTCAGCTATTGTGTGAGTCTGTGACTCGGTGCCAGCTGCGGGAGGAGCTGCAGCAGCCCGTGTTCCATGGCGGGCTGGCCTCACCTCTGGCCGCAGACACTGACACTGAGGGGGACTTGGGGAAAGAAGGTTTAGCCTAACTGCTAGGTTTTTAAAGAAGATTTCTCACAAAAGCAAGAGGAGATTTAAAGCTGATGCATTCTAAATTATGCAGCCATCACCAAAGGTTTTTAAAAGTGCATTTAAAATTTTCTTTAAATGCAAGCATTACATTGGGCCGAACATGTGACTTAATTAGCAGAAATATTCAATAATCAGTGGGTTTAAAGCAAATATATGTTTAATTTTCAAAGTATTAAATTCGATAAGAATTGTTTCAAGTAAAATCCAAGGCACAGGCACAGCTTTGTACATTGGTATGTATCATTTTAGATATGTTTGTGTGTTGGTGTTATAATTAATGTTAGGTCCCTGTACTTAGTGCTAGTTAGTTCTTTATGATACATTGAGACAGAGCACTACTGCACACCAAAGTATGCAATACCCAAAGGAAAATTCCGTGATCCTAACAAATGGAAGCCTGTCTTTGTCAGATACTCCAAAACTATGAATTTGAGACAGTTCTGACCCCTTGTTTACATTATTGGCTTCCTGCTAACATAAGAAATAAATTATTTTGATAGCAGTTTTTGCTAAAGTATACAAACTAGTGAATTTGTACCCTGTGTACAGTATTGCAGCAAACACTTTAAATTTGATTGCTTGGTTAGTCCAGCAAACTTTCTGGGTTCATATATTGCACTAAAATTCTGTTGAACCTGTGGCAGGCACATTCCTTAGGATAAATGCAACAAATACGGCCCACAGATTTAAAAAAAAGGCAAAACAAAAAAAAAAACCAACAAAAAACCAACTTTTTAATGTGTTTCATTATTAAAAGGCAAAATGTCATTAAAAGTGACAGGTGAAATTGTCTTATGTAGCAATGTGCATTGATCTCAATGAGATATTTCTATTTTTGATTCTCTTACATGAGAATATTGCAGCAGGAAAAATTAAGTTTAGTTGGCTTCACCATGTTAATACATGATCACAAAACGTGCATGAGTGTTAATGACTTAATCTTGTACAGTACTAGATATATTCCTGTAACCACTTTTATTTTTTTTATTCTTTTGCTGTATTGAAGCTGGTTCAGTGTTAACCAGGTGAGCATAGTTATTCACAAGTTATTTACTTTTTTATGTTAACTAATTCAGCTTAGTTATTGTTAAATATGTTCCTTTCTTGGATTATTTTTTATTGTTCTGGTGTTGAAAAACATTTTCGCATCATTTTATCATGATAAGACTTCATGAAGTAAATAATTTGCAAATAATTGCAATAAGCACTGACTTCCGAACTGAAAAGAAGGAAAGCGTTTCTTGTGCAGTGCATCTGAGGATCATATAATAGTCTTGTACTATACTGTGCTTTATTTACTGCACCATAAGGAAAGAAAAATCCCTGTTCCACATTTTCATTTAGTGCAGGAAATCCAGTTTCTCCCCTCTTCCCCAGTGTTTTGTTGTCTGTTGTACTGCTGAAACTACAGTAGTTGAATATTGCAGTAGCATTTCAGTTATTTTTTTTATTGAAAGTGCTCAAAAATTGTTTTTTAAATGTTTTCAAAAACAATAAAAACATTTTATATTAAAATTATTTCTGGAGTTTTTTTCTTTATATGGAAAATGTGCTTTGGGGCTGGCGTAAAATACAGAACTTTGTGTGATAACAGATAGCTGCCCAGTTGAACCTTGCTGCAATTGCTGAGCCCAGTAAAGCTGAATGTGAAGGTGAATCTTCCTCACTGGAGTGCCTTGGTCAGCCTTGGTCCAAGTGTTGGTTTCATGCCTGGGTGGTAGCTCTTGCTGCTGTGACATACAATGTCCCATTCCTGGTATTGCCATCCACTGTGTTGGTGTTTGCCTGGTTTTGCTTTCCCAAAAGCAAGATTTGTAAGGCACTCTTACAAGTTGGTGTTATTGTGGCTTGACTTGCTGACATAAAGGGGAAAATATGTGCTTTGATCTATGGAGTCCTGTATTTGGATTGTAAAATTGCATGTAAACCCATCAGTGTACCCAGCACAGTCTGTGTGAACAGGATGGAAAGGCATTGACACAGAGCAGGAGCCAGCTACAAAAAAAATGAGGATGAATATTCAGGTTTTCATACCAAAGAGATAGCATTGGTTAACAGACTACATCCCAGACTGTAGAGGTGATGAGATGAGCTGGCAGGTGACAAGGTTTGTGTGCCACCATCAATCACTTAGGCTCATCACCAAAGAAAAAGAATTATCAGGGAGATACATGACACCCTTAATGAAAGAGATTAATTTTATCATGTCATGGGAGGAAATACTATTAATATAGCTCACTGCATTCTAAACATGCTTTGCAAAGAGTTCTCAACAAATAATTGACAGACATACTTCTCCCAAGGTATGAGATGGAATATAAAGTAGGAGATAACAGAAGGATACTTCAGAAATTGGTAGTTCATCTGAAGTAATAATGGGTTTTAATTGGAACCTCTCAGCTATAAATTTGAAAGAATTTGTCTTAATGATTGATAAAAAGGATGAAAACAACAAACAAATCTGTGAATGGAAATGTCCTAACAGGAAAGATTTAAGAAGGTGGAAATCTTGGAACTGAAGTAATGAACTTTTTAGGTTTCAAATTATTAGATGCTTATGTGCTTAATAAAGATACCCAAAGTCCTAAACAATTGCTTTGAAATATTTTTACATCTCCAGAAATACAAATCTGTATGTGTGAACACAGCTGGTATTCCAGGAAACAGAATTTCACTTCTGGGGTTCAGGATTGCTGTGTCAAATGAGGCGGTGGTTCATGTACTCCATACAGTGTCTCTGGTAACTGATGCCTCTTCTCTAGAGCAGACCTGCATTATTACGTGGTCTCAGAATAAATGGCCTCTTTGGAAACTGTTCTAGACTCAAGAGACAGAAGCTCCATCTGAAGTCAGTCAGAATTAACCAATGCTTGGATTTTGCTGCTCTCCTCTCTGTCTTAAAAATGTTAAGCTTTGATAAGGAGACAAAATTGAAGAAAAATATATAGTGAGGCTTACAAATTGGAACAACACAGGAAAGTTATTCCAGATTTAAGGAAGGAGCAGGGACCTGACTGTATCCTTAAGATGTTTCTGAGTTGGGAATCCACAGAATAGTTAAAAATTAAACTGAATATGTCCAGGCTTGGGCTCTGCTGTCCCTGTGCTGTGTTTGTCCTCTGGCTGCAGGGAAACCTTGGCCAGGTAGCCATAACAAAGGATCCTGCAGGCAGCTCCCACTCAGTGCTGGCAATGTTGCCACTTGTGTGTCCTTGCCTTTTATCTGAAAGTGCAGCTAGAAGTTCTCATGTGAGCATCCTTTCTGCTTGACCTTTGAAGTAGTGAGCAGAGTTGTTTTCTGGTAGGAAGACCCTGTAATAGCTCAAATAAGGTGGCATTCCATGGGCAAGATGTGAGTGTGGATTGGAGGCCCCTTCCATGCTGCACAGTTGGGAGATATGACAGGATGTAAGACTGTCTGCACTGTCCACTCCAGCAAATGGCATTTTAAGCATTACTTCACAGGATCTGAGTGCATTTGTTACTGCTGTTGTAACAAACCAACACCTTCAGTGCATAGTTAACATTACCTGATGAAATCGCAAATCTCTTTTGCTTTTCCTACCCAGCTTGTTAAAAAAAGAGAAAGGGGTGAAATACAAACTCAGGAAAGCCAGATTAATTAAATTTGAAGTGAATTGAGGACATGGAAAAAAATGTTTAGAAAGCATTTAGTGCTAGAAAGACAGCTGTTTATTGCAGATTACAGTGTTTAAATACCCCAAATGAAAGACTACCTTGATACAATGCAGAACACATAACTGAATGATTATAGTTCGTGATAGGTCATAACATTTCTGCCATGTGCTTTGGATATGTAGGAAATATCCTACTAGTGATGTAAATACTTGAAATGTGTTGGAACATTTGCATATCTATTCTCCAATGGCTTTGTCGTGCCTCCTCCTGAGTCTGTTCTTCCTGGGCCTGCCTACCCATTTTCTATATCTGGTAATACCTCAGTTCTGAAATCATTAAAAGGGTCCATTTTTGTCCCTGTGGCTCATCTTTTCTCTGCTGTCAGCTTCCTTTTAAATAAACTGCTTTTATATGGATTATGATAAGTTATGTATCATTGGAACTTTGCCTATCCACACTACCTAATTAGATGATGCCTATTAGAATAAAATTTTCAGTGGATCTCAAGCTGCTGGTTCAGGTAATGTTAGCAGTATGCTACTGATCCAAAGCATACGCTGCTTTTTGTGTAGGGGGGTTCTGAGTCAAATGTTAAAACTGTACTTGAAAAATTAGCCCAAGGACTGAAATGCACCTCAGCAGTTTGTGAGCTTCATTTTAAGCCTACCTATGCATACAAGGGGCCACTTTTTGATGGAACTATTTTTAAAGTTGTGTGTATATTACACCAAATAAGCTCAATGTGCTTTTTAAAGCCTTCATACATGGTGAAGGTAGGAAGAAGAAGATGCATAAGAAGCTGAAAATACATTTTGATTTCTTCAGGGGTTGATAGCCTTATATTCACTTATTAACTTGTTGGTACTGGATTTTTGTGATGACTAAACGGAACAGGGCAAACCTGACTGCTGCTGGGACTAAATCCATCTGTAGCCTCAGGTTCTTAAAGCACAGGATGGAGGAGGTAGCTAGTGGGAATCAAGAGAAGCTGTCCCTGCAGATTTCCTCAGGTAGCCAACCTACCTATTGCTTAAAATCAGTACTTCTCAACATACTTTAGAGAGCTATTGGGTTCTCTTTTTGCAAATATTCTCCTTTTGTTTCTGGTATGGATGGGAAAACACAGCACTGTACCTCATCCTACACTATAAATGAACTGATAAGGACTTGTTCATCTCCTTTCCGTATCAAGAATACCCTTGAGTGTTCTATTTGCCTGCTCTGTATGAGTACTTCAAAAAGACACTTGTTCCAAGGGCTATAATAATAATTTCCCAGAGAGATCAAGCCCAAATGCTCCCTGCTCTAAGACAAGAAGAAGCATTTTGAAATGTGTTGTTTAAAAAGCTGTGAATAAGCAAGGATCCATTCTGACTGGAAAAAAATCTCCTTGATTCTATCTGCTACATATGTGGAGATGAGAAGGATGATAAAGTGCCTGTGTTTAGGAGGCCCTGCTTCTTGGTTCTTGCACCAATGACATAAATGAAATCTGCTCTCACAAGGATTAGTTGTGGATATCAAAACTAACACAGGGGCCTAAAATGGCTTTCTCTGAATAAGCAAAATAGGAGATCTCAGTGCTTACTAATAAGGAATTGCTGGAGACCTGTTATGCTGCACATAACTTTAAATTACTTCAATGCTTTAGGAATTATCTGAGGTTAGCTTTTTTTATCAAAAACAGTAGCTGTATAATAATAGGAGTATATTAGCATTTCCCTTTGCTTTTGGCAGAGGTCATACTCTGATCATTAATAAATATAATTTTACAGCATACACAAAGCCCTACATTCTTGTCAGTCAACCTGGTTTTTAGGAGTACCTTCTTATGGGATTACTTTCTTTGCCAACCAGGCCTGAAGATACGTGGATATTTCTTGGATGGTGTGCTACTAAGTGTAGTTTGGCATTATCTGTAATTAATTCCCAGTGACAAAACTTTCAAAATCATTGGAAGATAATTAGTGGACCAAGGGTAACACATTGAAAATCTGTATGCTCAAAAGTATTTGAACATTGAAAACACCTCAGAAGTAATTCAAACCAACTAATAATATCAATTATTTACTATTCCCATTTTCCTAATGAAATAAGAGAGAAACACGGTAGGAAGGAGCATCTTGTGTGAAACTGAGATGTGGGAAGATTGGAGTGCATTAGTGATGCTCAGTCACACACCACACCAGAACACAGCTTCTCCTGGTCTTAGCAATGTTTTAGGCACTGACAAAGAGCATATAGCACATACTACTTTGTACACATATGGAGAAGGATAATCTCAAGGCATTTAAAGAAGAAAATATGTAATCCCTGGGAAGTTCTTACTTCTCTAACATTGTGATGGGTTGAGCTGTTAGCAAAAATAACCACAATTAGTGTGTTAAACCTGGGATCACTGGTGGATAATTAATCTGGGAACAGTGACAGCAGTTGACTGGAGCTCATCACCTCCAGGTTTCTGTTCTGGCAGCTCTCCTCCCCCTCAAGCTGAAAATAGAGAGAAAAAGATGACATCTGAGTGGTGGTGATTCAGACAAGTGTTTACCATTTCATTCAAATGCATATGCACAAAATGAGTGTGACTTTCCACCTCCACTACAGTTGCTCTTCTTACTATGCAGGTTTGCTCATCAAGACAGAGATATTTCCAAAAGAAATTGCTTGTAAACTGTTATACAAGTCATAAAATTTAGGAAAAACATCTTTCTCTTCTACTCTGTGAGAGCTGGAGAGCTCAGCATCTTTCCTGGGAGACAGGGAAGAAGGGAGCTGACCCAGGGCAGATGCTGGTGCCTGAGGAACACAGGCCCATGCTTGGACAGCAGTACTAAATTTTGTCTGCAGGTTGCCCTGGAAAGGAGCTACTTGAACAGAGAATTTCTGGTTCACATCTGGTCTGTCCTTGCGTGATGGTCACACCTTGCTGTCATCCTGCAGGAGCAAGTAGAGCTGCAGGGCTTGAGACTGCTGTAGGCAGTGGCTTGGCTTCAGGCAACACAGGAAGCACATGTATCCAAACAAGGATACGTTGCTTTTAAGGGAAAGAAGAAAAGCTAAGGAAAACAGAACCTGTGGCTTTGGAGAACTGAGAGTGAAAAGGAGCAGGAGAGGGCTGGTGAAAACCTGCAAATGGGCTAACAGCAGCCCAGTTGCAATGCAGTGCAGACACAGCTGCCAGCCTGGAGTGACTACCAGACTGAAGCTCTTGCTTACAAAATTTAAGCCTTCATGTTTATATCAGTTTTACATCTTCTTGTCATAGTGGTTGAAATCTAGTATTAATTGCCAGGATCCAGCCTGCATTTAACAGTGGAACCAACAAGAGTGTTGAGTCTTGGGCTCTTAACTACATCTCTGCATTAGTCTCTTTACTGAGACATTGCCTTGATAGTAAAGAAATTGAGATTATTAGGATACCAGTAGGTGTTTACTTCTCTTAGTCATAGCAATGATTCATGACCAATACAATTTTTTCTATTAATTCCCTGTTGTACACAGTTTTCCATTTACCTGTCACAGTCACATTGTGTGTGGTTCATAACATTTTCTATTGTATGACTCAGTAGAACAAAAGACAATAGGACAAAAATCTGTTTCTGCCATGTGCATTTTTAAAAAATGTATTATTTTTTAGTTGCAGTTAAAATGACTTCTATTGAATGGAATGACTTCTATTGAAAGGAATGACTTCTATTCCTTTGGTTTAAAGGAACACCAGTTTGATTTGTATTCAGTTTGATTTAAAATCCTCTGCAGCAGAAGTTATCCTACATTTAATAAGTTAAAACATACTTTGGTGTTACCTGATGTCCTAGCTTTTATCACTTAACCATCACTATAGTTAACATAAATTCTTAAATTAAAGACTCCTGTGATAATACTTTGGAATTTTGAAACAAATCTCCTTTATCCACATAATTTCCTCCTTTAAAAGAAAACACTGCTTTTGGTTTTTTTTTCAAAGTCGTTCAGTATTATGGTGCACAGATTTTCTTTGGCCTAGGAAAAGCATTTATGATAAAGAAAGATACAAACCATATATCATAAATGTATATAAAATTCAAACCACAAATTGTATCCATCAGGATGAATGCCATCAGCTTAGAGATGGAATGTTTTTAAAAACTTTTGTGAATTTTTGATCTTTCATGGGACTGAAAATTAATTTAGATGGCAAGAGAAGTCAGATTTGTTACCAGGTAAGAGCTCACTATTGGGATGGAGTAATGAGATAAAATATTAACAGATTTTTAATGGCGTGGATATACAAAGTGTTCCATTGCACATAGATGATCCAAATTTGGGTTTTTCTCTGCAACTGAAAATCAATTATTTGCTTTCAGAAGAGCTCTCTTCCAGTAATAGTTTGTAATAGCATAACACCATAAAATATTAAATGCTGGAGATATGTATCTAACATAAGAACTGAATGTTTGTTAACAAACATATTGTGTTTATGCTCCCCCATTCTTAAGTAAAATAATAAATTGGGTGAAGTGAAAGATATCTTGCTGGAATATTGGAGATAACTATTGATCCCACTAAAAGTGCACATAGACCATAATATATGGATGCCTCTGGTATCAAACCCAGAAACGTAAGTTCTGTGTTTCAGACCTGTCCATTGCAGGTCATCTGCTTATGGATTTGGGCACTAACTGTGTTTCAACTCCTATTCTGGGCAGTCAGTGGTCCTTCCACACAAGAAATGAGTCAGTGCTGTGTGCTCCTCTGCTACTTAAAAAATGTAATGTAACAAAATTAGTATGTTAATGTCCTGTTGTAAATTTCAAAAAGGCTTTTTTTTTTTTTAATTTCAAACTTATTGAAATGACACATTGCTTAAAATTTAATGTTAGAGTTTTGATGTCCTACAAAAAATCCCAGTAAGTAATGTATTAATAAAATATTCACAATGAAAACCTCTATTAAACAGGACTTTAGGATGCTTCTTATAGTTTTTAGCATACAAAAAAGCTGAGACTGCAGAAAGGCAGACAGATTTCTGACTAGTGACAGTAATGTGTAGTAAGATATTTATAGGGAGAAATAAAAGAGTATCTTTTATTAGACTAACCAATAAAATTCTGAAAAAAAACCCCAAACATAAAAAACCTCAGCTGTGAGCTTTTGGGGCTCTGATACATTGTCTTTGACATGGTTTGTACACTCTACCAGAGTATGAGAGACAGCACAGCAAAACCCAGTGTTTATATTTGACACAAACTCACATGCTTTTTCTAGCAAGCTGTAACAACAATTTACTATTCATTGTTATACTCAATCTCAGAAAAACCGGACCTGGAAATCATGCCTGTTGTAACTTAAGCAGATTTTCCTTCCTTGGCTGTAGCCCAGAAACTTAAATTTGGACAAACCTCTAAACTTGTGCTGGAAGACTGATGTAGGCAAAACTGAGCCAAAGGAATTTGAAACTTTGTGTGTCCAGAGGGTCAATTCATAAACAGAAGAGGGCTGTTTATTTTAAAATGCCCCAAATTTTTTCTGGGTCTTATTTTCCAAACTTTCTTGATTGGTCTTATAGCAGACACTGTTTCCACAAATAAATAATCTACCAATTCATATGAAGCCACTTGCCCAAATGCCACTTTGTGTTTTTGTAAGACACTCACCTGAATTTTCACAGGTAATACCCTACATTTATTCTGGGACATGTACAAACTGATGTTGATATTGAAATTGCATTTTCTTGGAGCGTCTGGTTAGTCTCTGGAAAGAGAACGTGAGTGTATGTGGTAATGGGCTCAGGTTTGCCTGAGTCTTTCTGAGGAGGTGATAACCTGGGTGTTCTGTGGTCTGCTTGGGACACAGTCCAAAGAGCAGAGCCTGGGTCTTTGTTTGTTTTGGAAAGGGAAGATTCTCATCAGATGATGATGGCAGAAGTAGGTCACTCAGGGCATGAGGGGCCAGGTTGGATCAGTTGAAAGGTGACGAAAGACCCTGGTTCCTTGCCAGTACAGGTGCTGCTACATTTGTTTGTTGTTAGTGACCCGTGATTTTCAGAATGTTCATCCTACGAGGGAGGTATGTTCTCTGCACTCCCAGATTGTGCAGTGCCTGGAGAAGTTTGGCTTAGGCTTGTAGAAAGGCTTATCATTACAAAACTCGGACTAAACCACTCTACAGCTTTTTTAGCACAGCTCTTGCTGTTGTCCTCTGCCTGCTGGAAAGGCTGGCGTTCAGGGAGGGATCCCTGAGGGACTGATTCGGAGGCTTGAACAGGGCAAGGGGCAAGCAGATTTTTTTCTTGAGAAAAGTCTTGATGACATCGTTGTTTTGATTTCAGACATAGCTTTAACAGTTTATATTTTCTGTCCTCTGGCATTCTCCCTGCTTGGGTGTTATGTCAGGTCAGCTCCTCGCACAGCTGGGATTTCCTTCCTCCTCAGAGCACCCTGTAAGGCAGCACTGCCTCATCCTGGTGGGCAAAGTCCTTTTTACTCTCGGTTTTCCCCACATTTTTGCAATTTCAGGTTCCCTGAGTACAAGGGGTTAGGCAAGAGTTCCATAGCTTGGGCCTGGCTCTCAGAGGTGCAAAAATAATCTTAAACTGCAGCAGGAGAGGTTTTGGTTAGACATTCAGAAGAATTTCTTCACACAAAGGGTGATTAGATATTGGAACGGGCTGCCCAGGGGGGTGGTAGAGTCACCATCCTTGGAGGCGTTTAAGAAAAGCCTGGACACTCGGTGCCATGGTCTAGTTGACACGACGGTGTTCGGTTGTAGGTTGTACCCGATAATCTCAGCGGCCTTTCTCAACATAATCGATTCTGTAAATTAAGATCTCGACAGTGTAAACCAGAAGGAAAAATTTTAGAAAGGCGGCTTTATCCCGCCGAGGCCCTGGGTAGGGCTGCCGACGAAGGCAGGGCGGAGCACGGCGCGCTTCCCGCGGCGCCCTGAGGGGCGGTGGGG